ACGGACAAAGTGACAGAGTTGGACGGCAGGACCCAATTGCACCTTATTATCTAATTAAAGGACCAAATTGCCACAAAATTTTGTTCACGGACCCAATTGCAACTGGCCCCATAGTTCACGGACGTCTACAGTAATTAACCCTTAAGTTATTTTTCACAGCAAATTTAGGGACTACTTCTCTTTTGGCTTTTGAACGCGACTTTTGCTAGGATTTTCAGACTTTTTCCATTCAAGGTGTTTTCGATCTTTATTATTTTAATGAAGAACTTGATGATTTTTATTATGAACATGCGTAACTAACTCTCTTTTGCTAGGGTGAGGCCACGAGCCTTAGCAAGAATATGTAGTTTCTGTCCAATCAGGTTTTCGAATTATTCATCACTGGGTTAAACTATCTAAGTGTCTTGATGCTTGATCACCATTAGGATGTTTAGAAAAGTAATTTGATGCAGTTTTGGTCGGAGGTCGGTCCCTGAAATTGACGAAGGCTTCTTGTGATTAATATGTGCAAGTTCACTTAGGATGAATACCACGTCTTAAGGGTTGCATGGTTTTTCAAAAGGTTTCACAGAACTTAATGAGTCATGTATGTTTAGATTTGATCTGAATACCACAAACGGATTGCATGTGTGATATATGCTCTATGTTGGGGGTCCAAGTAGGGATATATTAGGAATACCTAACCTTCAAAATATGCATGTATAGGTCATAAGTAATTGGGAGAACTATATAGAATTGTTAAGGTGACGGCGGATCCCTAGTGCTTTCTTAATTTGATTTCTAAAAACACAACTGTTTCTCTTGCTCTTAGCTTTAATTTTGCATATTGCCTTATTTTTATTAGTTAAATTCGTTTTAATTTAAGGTTTTCAAATCAAACATCTCAAGTTTCTCTTTTACAATAATTAATTAGGATTTGGTTTGCGACGAGTTATTTAATAATCCCTGCGGAGAACGACCTTGCGAGAATCATTTATACTACAATAACCTTGTCATTCTTGCAAGTTTTATAGGAGTTTTAACCTTGTTTGCGCAGGTACAAAAAAGCCTATCAAGAAATTGGTATTCATACTTCCTGCAAATCACATGTCAAACTAGAATGTAGAAGTTCCGTTCCTACTTCCAGGAAAAGAGATAAGTATTTTTCTTCCTTTATGTATTGTATCTTTTCCCTATTCATATAGTAAATTAGTAACTTTTCACTTTTCTTTCTCCATCATACAAAGCTTGGAGTTTTCCATACACTACTTGACTCAAAGTCTTTGTCTCTCATTCTTTGAAGTTAAGTATCAATTAATGTGTTTTCTGCTTCATATGTTCAGATGTATCCCACCTTAATGCTTCACAATATTGGATGCTCAGAAAGTTTTCAATTTGGACGATGTGTCTGGTGGGATCTGTTGGAAATCAAATCTTGTAATTGAAGGATTGTAAATATTGTAATTGTCTTTCCTATATTATTAGATCCCAAGATTTATGGGTCAAACCTAGATTGTAGCCTTAATTAGGAATTATGCTAGAATAGGAGATTGTAAACCTAGTATATAAAGGATAGTATTATGTACAGCAGAATATCAATAACAGAACCTATTGTTCCATCTCTTTTATTTTTTTTACATGGTATCAGAGCACCGATCCGGTGGCTCGTGATTTACATCTTTATTTTCTTTTGAAACTTTTGAGGGTTTCACTCCCTTGTCTTCACCATGGGCAATTCCAATGCCGTTGCTGGGAATCATCCACAGCAGCCACTTGATAGCAATACCAATACATGCTCCAATTTTTCAGCACATAAGGTCAACACATGTCTTCCAGCAGCCCTTTCTCAGACAGCCCCTTCCTCTCATTTGGGGCCCATCCTCAACGTCCTTGCTGGCCTCTCAGAGGAGCAATGTAAACAACTCGCTGCCGCCATGGTAAATTTGTCCCAACTTCCCTATGGAAACCCAAATTCCTTTTATAATGCAGCAGGTCGATTTCACACTTCCCACACTCCGTCTGTTAATTCTATTTTTTCTAACTCTTGGATTCTTGACAGTGGAGCTACGGATCACATCACATCCGACTCTTCTCTTTTTATTCATAGCAAATCCTCTTCTATACCTTCCGTCAATTTACCCACAGGTTCATCTGTTCCTATTGATTCCATAGGCACAATTCTTTTTAATAAAGACATCACCCTAGAACATGTTCTTCATGTCCCTACTTTTCGTTTAAATTTAATGTCTGCTAGCAAACTCACCAAATCTCTTCATTGTTGTATAATTCTCTTTCCTGATTTTTGTGTTATTCAGGACTTGGCTATAAGGAAGATGATTGGTTGGGGTAAGCAAAATGGAGGCCTATATTATATGTCGCTGTTGACCACAGCACCTGTCTTTGGTCATGTCACGCACACATCCACCATATGGCATCATCGTCTTGGACATCCTTCCTCTGCTCGCCTTCAGTTGTTATCTAAATCTTTTCCATTTATATCTTCTTCTTTTGATCATTCTTGCATTGTTTGTCCTATGGTCAAACAAACTCGAATTCCCTTTTCCTTAAGTAGAACATCAACTTCTTCACCGTTTGAATTGTTACATTGTGATATTTGGGGTCCACATCGTGTTCACTCACATACTGGTGCACCTTACTTTCTTACCATTGTGGATGATTTTACTCGATGCACTTGGGTGTTTTTGATGTCACTTAAATCTGAAACACATACTTTGCTTAAATCTTTTTTTGCCTTGGTCAAAAATCAATTTAATGCCACTATCAAAACCCTTCGTACTGATGATGGTTCTGAATTTCTTTCTTTGAAGGATTTTTTTGTCTCCCAAGGGGTTGAATTTCAACGCTCCACTTCTACAAACCCACCTTCCCGGACCCACTCCACCATCCGATTCTCCCATTCCAACCTCTAGTCTCCCTACTTTGGATATAGGGCCCGTGTCTAGCCCACTGTCCCCAGCCCATGCTGGGCCTCCTTCTCATCACAACCCTACTGTGCCCACAGATGCAGTCCCCCATTTATTGCTGACCCATTCCTCCTTCTCCGCTTGATGCCCCAAACCATCCACCTCCATGACACTCCACTCGTTCGACGCACCCACCGCGTTGGCAAAATGATTATTTTATGGGCTTCTCTTCTACCTCCCCTGACTCGTCATCCTCTTCGGGGCCAACCCCTTCTTCAGGTACTCGTCATCCTTTATCTAATTGTATTTCCTATCATCGTCTTTCTCCTTTGCATCGTGCTTTACCTGCTAACGTTTCAGGAACCTGTGAGCCTACTAATTATGCTCAAGCTGCTTCTGATCCCCATTGGCAACTTGCCATGAAAGCCGAGTTGGATGCATTGCAACTCAATCGTACTTGGACACTTGTTCCTTTACCGCCTGGTCACAAACCCATTGGCTGCGAATGGGGTTATAAAATTAAATACAATTCAGATGGTTCCATCGAGCGCTACAAGGCTAGTCTCGTCGCCAAAGGCTACACCCAAATTGAGGGTGTTGATTATAGTGAGACTTTCTCCCCTACTGCCAAGATTACTACTCTCTGCTACCTTTTATCTGTTGCTACTGCTCGTAATTGGTTTATTCACCAACTTGATGTTCAGAATGCCTTTCTCCATGGTAACTTGCAGGAGGAGGTCTATATGGTCCCTCCTCCCGGTCTTTGCCGACAGGGGGAGAATCTAGTGTGTCGGCTGAATAAGTCTCTTTATGAGCTTATACAGGCATCCCGTAATTGGTTCTCCAAATTTTCCCATGCTATTAAGAAAGCAGGCTTTCAACAATCTATGGCTGACTATTCTCTTTTTACCATGGTTAATGGAGATTCTTTTACAGGTGTGCTCATATATGTTGATGATATTCTCATTACAGGCAATAATCTTCAAGAAATGGAACGTCTTAAATCTTTCCTTCTTAAATAGTTTCGCATCAAGGATCTTGGTGACTTGAAGTATTTTTTGGGCATTGAATTTTCCCGATCGAAGAAAGGTCTTTTTTTGTCACAAAGGAAATATTCCTTAGACATCGTACAAGATGCAGGCTTGACAGGTGCACGACCAGAAAAATTCCCAATGGAGCAAAATGTGAAATTGAAACCAACAGATGGTGATCTTCTCAACGATCCGATGAGATATAGGAGGTTGGTAGGAAGATTAATTTATCTTACTGTCACAAGGCCAGACATTGTTTATTCAGTTCAGATTTTGAGTCAGTTCATGCACCAACCTAGAAAACCACACATGGAGGCCGCACTTCGTGTTTTAAGATTCATTAAAGGCACACCTGGTCAAGGCTTGTTTTTCCCGGCTGTGAACAATCTTGAGTTGAGAGCTTATTGCGATTCAGATCATGCAGGTTGTCCAACAACAAGGAGATCAACAACAGGTTATTGTGTTTTTCTAGGAAATTCTCTTATCTCATGGAAATCAAAGAAACAATCAACTGTTGCTCGATCATCTGCAGAAGTAGAGTACAGGGCCATGGCAATCACATTTCTTGAAATTACATGGTTGTGCTATATATTGCGCAACTTAAGAGTTACACAGAAGGGTCCTGCACTTTTGCATTGCGACAATCAAGCTGCACTACATATAGCTGCAAATCCAGTTTTCCACGAAAAAACGAAGCACATTGAAATTGATTGTCACATTGTGAGAGAGAAACTACAAGCTGGTGTAATTTCTCCTTCCTATATTTCTTCACAAGATGAGTTGGCAGATATATTTATGAAGGCCTTGGGAGGAGATGCCTTCAATATTTTAAGTCGCAAGTTGGGACTTCACAACATTCACTCTCCAACTTGAGGGGGAGTGTTGGAAATCAAATCTTGTAATTGAAGGATTATACATATTGTAATTGTCTTTCCTATATTATTTGATCCCAAGATTTATGGGTCAAACCTAGATTGTAGCCTTAATTAGGAATTATGCTAGAATAGGAGATTGTAAACCTAGTATATAAAGGATAGTATTATGTACAGCAGAATATCAATAACAGCACCTATTATTCCATCTCTTTTATTTTTTTACAGGATCATCGACTGTTTTTGTTTTTTCTTTTTCTTCTTCTCTAATTGGTGTGTGTTAGATAAGTTGAAGAACTAAACGCAAAATTGTCGTTTATTGTTTTGATTCAATGCATAGGAATAGGAATGTGAAATTGATCATTTGCTTTCGTGAACTTCTTTGCTTCAAATCTACCATTGTTACACTGCAAAGAACTTAACAGATTGAAACGAAATTTAAGAGGGTGGAGTGGTTACTCTATCCGTGGTGTTTTTATTTTTTATTTTTTACTTGCAGCTTTTACAATATCTTTTTTTTGGGGTCTCTATGACACATTGAAAAATAGGAAAGAAGCACACAATTATCTATATCTTCAGTCACCAGGGTTTCCTTCAGACTACTTGACTTTGAAAATGAATGTGTGCGTTGGATTGGTTGACTTTATTTTCACCTTCGGGCTCACGCACACGACTGAAAGATCCTTCAATATTTTATATGTGTGTTTTTTGGGAAATGTATTCGGCTTGTTTCGTAGTATATCTTGGGTAAGGCCTTTTTGGGGATTGCGTTTTTTCGCCAAAATTCGGCTTCACTTTAAAGTTAAGCAATTTAATATGGCTCACTTTCATCCATTGACCAAGGTTTGATGACCTATTTTGCCCCTGCCATCAACTCCATCCAAAAGTATGTTAACTTTGGTGACATGACATGGGTGTTTTTGTGATTTCGTACGTATGGATCAGTATCCACCAATTGGGTGGGTGGTGTGAAGCCCACCTCCAAATGGATATAAGATTTAATTAATTACTCTAATTAAATATGATCTTTTTATCCCAATTCGCTATTTTCCACCAATATGAGATGGGGAGGTGGTAATATGTGAAGCCCACCTCTATATACCATTTTTTAGAAATTAATTAAACAAATAAAATAACATTAGAAGAAAAAGGCAATTCCTCACTTCGCCTCCCCCTTTCCCCACCTCAACGCCCATCGCACCCATGTATCAGATTCATTCTCTCTCTCACACACACACTCTCTCTCTCCATTCGTAATTTTTTTGCAAAATAATTCTCCCAACCCTGCTTTCACAAATTTTAAGTTTCCCAATGCCAAAAACCAACCCTCTACAAATCTGGTCTCTTTCTGTTTGGGGTGGTGAGAATTAACCAAACCCGGGTGCCTTTTGGAAATAGAGAATTGGTTGGGTGTAAAGAATAAAAGTCGGCCGGGGTGAGAGGCTTGAGATGCGGCCCGGGGTGTGGAAAAAATGCGGCCGGATGTCTACTTGGTTGGGAGAGTGCGGCCGGGTCTATTGTGAAATGCGGCCGGGTGTTGTGACTTGGGAATTCCAAGATGGAGCGGATGGGGTTTTTTTGTTTAGGCGGAGACAAATTTGCTGGGTAATGCTTGAATGTGGCTTTCCAAGTATGATATAATATATATATAATATATAAGAAAGTGTAAGGACAAGGTGCGGCCAAGGTTGGATGTTTTTGAGAAGATGGGCCAAAAAGTTATTTGGTCCTATTTTATATATATGAATGGGTGGATGCATGCATGAATACGGCCAAAGCTTGGAGTTCTTTGGAATTGATGTGGCCAAAAAGTTTTGTAAAGCAAATTGCAAAGGTGCGGTGGGGCACTGCTGGAATTACTAGGATATCTCGGCGGGATTTTTGTAGAAGTTGCGGCGGGATTTTGTAGAAGCTCGGCGGGATTTTTGTAGAAGTTGCGGCCGGATTTTTTTGGTTTGGAGCAAACACAGTTTTGGAGAATGGCGGCCTGGTACTTGTTGAGATGCGGCCGAGATTTATGTATGGTTGTTGCCCACTTTTTTCACAACTAGAAGGGTGAAGGGCCGCAACGATTCTGGCGGCTACAATATTTGGGTGGCCTTGCGAATAGTTGGCTGAAGGGTTTGTAGGGCTAAATCCAATTGCCTTTTATATATATATATATATGTTATAATATATAAGGAATATTGCGGCTGGGCTGTTTTTAGAGGGAAAATTCTACAATGCGCAAGGCGCACTGATGCGCCATTTATTATAGACCATTGGATGAGTAGCTGGGGCATGTGGGGTAATCCAAAGCGTTGATTGTTGGTTACCGGTTAAATTGGTTGCTGTAGGTAAAACCAA